CAATAATTTTCTATTCTAAAATTACATTTTTTTAATGAAATTCTTATTAAAAAATGTTTTTAGTTAAATTTGGTTTATAATAGATCAAAGTTTTCAAAGGAATAATTCCAAAAACAACCAGTACAAATCTATGACATGAGACTATTACATTTAAGAAAATTATTTATTTCTTTGAATATAAAAAAGTATATACTTTTCCTTACACTTCTTTTTTTTTGGAAAATATCCATGTTACCCTTCAAAGTGAACATAATGGAAAGAGTTGTGTACGTGCAGGTCTAGAAGTAGGTTTTCCTTTTCCTTTTTCTTTTTCTTTTTCTTTTTTTAACAAAGGTCTAGAAGAAGGTGTTGAAAAAAATTAGATCCTGAAAAATAAATTAGGTCCACCAAATTAGAAGGTAGCATACAGCAGATTTGCACGATTTCAATTTCAGGTCTATTTTCTCCGGTAAGAGAGGTTAACAGATATTTCTTAAAAGAAAAATATGATTTAAATATAATTTTTAGTTGGCGGATAAACACTTTTATATTAATTTATTTGAAGGGACTAAAACAAAAGAGAGAGACTTCAAATACAAAATCAAGAGTATGTTTAGTAAAATTTGTAAGTATTTTAATTTTTTTATATTATTTATGTTTTATAATTTTAAATTTTTTTAAAAAAAATTTATTTTTTAAAATTTTTTTTAACATTAAAAAAGACCTTAAAGAATAAATTTTAAAAAATTTCAAATTTTTGTTTTTTCTAAACATATTTTGTTACTTACTTCTTATTATTTTTAAAAGTAACTTTTAAATTTTTTCTCTAATAAAAATTTAAATTTGTGACTAATAAACAATATTAAAAATATAAAAGTTTCAAAAAGTTCCACTAAATAGGCCATATGTGGTTACTAACTAATTACTATGTAAAAGCACAAAATATGAAAATGAGAAATCTAACAAATTGCTTAAAAAAGAAAAAAAAATAATAGGATGATGAAAATCTGAAAAGAATTAATGAAGAAAATATAAACTAAATCTAATAATATGTTCATGAATTAATCTATAACAAGTACTGAGATATATAGATATTAAAGAAAAATAAAAAGAATCTTGAAGTTATGGATAGATAGTGTACTTACAATGCAAGATTAGCAGAAGAAATAGATAAAGTTGGACACTGATAAGCAACTTGGGCCTTGCAAAGCAAATTGTTAGAAGTAGCAAATTGTTCAATTTCTGAGCGAGGAGTTGATGAGCCAACTAAGGAGAAGAACCAACTTAAATAGGCACTAGGCAATAGCAGGGTGCATTTCCTGGAAGTTGCTGTCAAATGCAAGTGAAATCAACCAGAGAATCTTATTGTATCAAAAAGAAAGAACTGAAGGATGAAAGTGTAAAATATATGAAAACAAGCATTAATTATTTCACACACAGCTCATATAAATATTGTAAATTAAATTACGGACACCTATATTTTTGTGAAAAAAACCTTCAAGTATAAGGTTATTATTATTATTTTTTCTTATACCGGATGGTAAAAATTATTTGAGAAAAATTAAGATTATTTATATGTTTTAAAACTTAACAAAGTTACTTAAGAAATTTGTTATTTGCACTAGGCACTACAAGAATTCCAAGATTTACCTGCACTTTATTTCAGGCGCTTACTATATGTGCTGGAAATCCTAACTTGGGGGTAGAGTACTTTTTGGGCGCTTTATTTATGCATTTGGAAATGTTATTCATTTTCCGGCACTTGAAAAGCGCCTGTATATTAAAAAAAAAAAATAAAGAAACAGGACATAAAGTTAGAATCCCCTAAAACCAGTCCCCACGTTATTTTCCCAAAACCCCGCGCTATTTTCCCAAAACAGAGTCTCTTTCATTACCTCGTCTACTTCCAGCCTCTCGTTCCCTTCCTGTCTCTCATTCTTTTCTATTTCAGTATATCTCCCTTTCGTTCTTTTCATTTTCAAAACTTTTGTTTCATTTCTAGAGTCTCTCCACTGGGTAAGCAGAAACCTTAAACCAATTGCAGTAGGTAAGCTTCAAATCTCTCCATTAGGTCGTCGTCTCTTCAATTTTGATTTTGATTTTGATTTCTCTTGAAACCTAATATTCATTTTGATTTTGATTTCTCAGATTTTGATTTCGCGTTATCCTTTGTGTCTTCTCCTTCGAATCTCATCAACTACTCCAGGTTTGTGTCTTCTTTTTAGATTTCTCAAAATCCCCTGTTTATGATTCTGAAATTTGAGAATTAAATCCAATTTCAACAAATGATGAACATTCGGCGGTGGCGATGAGATGGTCGTAACGAACCTCATCGTCTGGTTGTGCAGGAAACAATCGAGGGAGGTGGGAGGTGTGGTTGAGCTGCAGCCATAATCGCTTGAAAATAGGGTGCTACGCTGTTGCCACCATAATCGCTTTTTAGCTTCGAGTATATCTATTTCTTTCAGATCTCCTTTGTTTACTTTTTCATTAGATTCATGTCTTTTAGCCTCCGATTTGCTTTATCATTTTGGTGGAGTTCTCTGGCATTGGAAACACTAGATATTCTTTCTTCACTCTCTGCATGTGGTTTTTTGTTTCCAATTTCAACTTTATATTTGTCCTTTTATGATTTAGTTTCATGATTTAGCTTTAGTTTCAAAAGTTGCTGTTAAAGGTTTTGTGATGTTTTCCAAGTGAACCCTGATTGATGCACACCGGATCCAACATCCAGGTGTGCACTCCATAAAGAAAAAAATTGGATCGGGTGAGTGATAGGTATTTTTTTTTTTCAAAAGGGAGTAACCCGGGTGTGCACATATCATTTTTCTTTCCAAGTTCAGTATTAGCTTTAGTTTCATGTTCTTTAAGATCATTTAACACAATGTAAATGAAAACGGGTAACAATTTTTTTTTTATAACTGTTGTATATAATTTTCAATACTAATACCATATAAAATAATTTAATTAGATATTCAATAAAATTTAAGTCAATTAGTATTTTTTTCATGTAAATTAATGATGAAAAGGGACAATAAATCACCCTTAATTTGTTTTCTAATAAGGGTACATGTTAGAAATTTTCAAAATAAAAAATCAATAATTTGTTTAAGACGAGTTTTAACAATATTGACAACAAAAAAATATAGGCTTATATAATAATATTAAACTATTTTTGTTTTTATTTATTTAATAATTTTGAAAATATGTTCCGAAAACACATAAAAATAAATATGTTTAAGTTTTATTTAGAGTTATTAAATTCATAAAAACTAAAACAAAAAATAAAAAGTTATAATCATACTTAACAAAATCTTAGTTGAGCCGGTGAATTTGACACTAATATTTTGATTATTCAAATAAAACTTATTGATAACCATGCTAATAATGGACTCAAAAAAAATTTGTTGAATTTGATTTTACCTGGATTAAACCAAAGCAAAAAACCCAAAAAAAAAAAGAAGAAAAAAAAAGAAAGAGAAGAAGAGTTCAAAATATCAATTGATTAGTTATAATTGATTACGCCCAAAGCAAGATGTAATATGAAAAGGTGGTTTACAAAGTTTGATATATTAATGATTTGTATCTACTTTTTTTTCTCATCTTATGTACTTCAATAAAAACTAGGCAAATCAAGATTAAAGATCTAGATAGTATACTTACCGATCTAACAAATGAAATTGAAGAAATTAAGGATGATGACCAAACTAAACCAAGTAAATTACAAACACCAGTAGATCTGCTTAATTGCAAGCCTATTCCTTTGTAAACAACGAGATTGACCAATATTTCTTGAAAATAGAACATGATGCAAATACAATCAATAAAAGAATAACTCAAAAGATTTGTTAAGTAATTACAGATTAATTAGATAAAAGGAAATTTGAAGATAAAAGAATCTAACAATTTGTTAAGATACAATTTAAAACTGAAGAATCAAATAAAAATATTGAAAAAAAGGTCACGCATCCAAAGAAAATTTGATAATTTTTATTTAATACATACTTTAAAGATAACATAAACGTTTAGAATCAAGATTGAATATTTTGATTGATAGCATACCTGAAGGTTCAATGAAAGAAATTGAAGAAAGTGAACACTGATAATCGAAATAGTTAGGCAAAGCAAATTGGAAGCAACTGCAGATCTACTCACTCAATTGCAAGCCAAATCGTGTCTGATAATAAGAAAAGGTGAGACAGCAAAGGAAAAGAGCAAACTTTAAAGAAGTGATTTAGCTGGATATTTCCTAGAAGATACTTGGCGATATAGCAGCGAAATGGATATATGCAACGTGGTCTAAAAAGCTACACTTAGGTAAGGGTATTACAATATTCGAATTAAGTAGGCGATTTGAAACCAATTAGAAGAGAAGTTGGTGCAATCTTATCACTAAGATGAGGACAATAACAAAAGTGCAAAAATTAGTATATTATTACAAACAAAAAAAAAGAAATCTAGACATCCAAAGCATTAAAAATATGAAGATTTTTAATTATAATTATTAAATATATAAAGTGTATTATGAGTTTTAATTTTATTATATTTAATAAAATTAAAACTCAAAATACACTTTATATATTTAATAATTATAATTAAATATCTTCATATTTTTAATATTAAAATATATTAATTTTGTCCTTTTCCTTATCATAAAATGAGCAATAATTGTATAACTACTACATACCATAACATTAAAAGAAAGAGTTGACTTTTATTAAGACTTAATGAAAGACTACGTCAAAAAAAAGGGGCCATGAAAACTAACCTCAGAACAGTTGGGACAAGCGGATGGCTTGTAGCTTTCAGTGACTCATTCGCTTCTTTTTCCTGCCCGTGTTTCTCATTCGAAAAGGTTTCTTTTTCAACCTTGGATTCTCATCTAGTCCCCCTTTTTTTTTTTCTTTTTTTTCTTTTTGACTTCATTTTTCTCTGTTTTTTCTTCTTGGGTAAACTATAGCAATGGTCACTACTTTTATCATGATTTTTAATTTATACTTATTATCCTTTAATTTTAAATTTATAAATTTAGTCACTAACCTTAATTTTAAAATGCTATTTTAACTTCATTTTTCTCTGTATTTTCTTCTTGGGTAAACTATAGCAATGGTCACTACTTTTATTATGATTTTTAATTTAGTTATTATCCTTTAATTTTAAATTTATAAATTTAGTCACTAACCTTAATTTTAACATGCTATCGTTCATCAACTTCTGTCATGTCTCACAAATTTACTTAAATGATGACATAGATGATGACGTGGTATTTAATAAAACAAAATTACAATTTAGTTTTAAAAAAAAAGGTGACAAAAAAATAATATATTCTTAACAGTACTATAATATATATTTTAATTCTTAAAAATGTTAAGATCATATGGAGTTAAGAACAAATTAATTAAAATCTATAAAGGTTAGTTATGAAGAGAAATTGAAAGAAAAGGTTAGAATTAA